TATATATATATATATATATATATATGAATATATATTTAATTATTTAAATTTGAATAGATTTTGTTAAAAAGTTTTTATATGTTCACCATAGGCCAGGATTTTTAATATTTTTTTTTTAAATTTTAAAAAAAATTTTTTCAAATTTTTTTTAAATCTATTTTTATATCAATAATTAAGTTTTATATGAAAAAATTATATGAACTCACTATTTTTTTTTAATATAAGAAATTCATCTATTTTTGCCTTCAATATGATTTTGGGACACTCTAAATAAATAATGTATTTATTAATATATTTAAATTCTGCAATTATATTTTTATAATTATGAATATTAAAATTAAACTTAAAAAAATATTCATATATAATTAAAAGATATTCACAATAACCATTATTTAAATGAAGAAATAAATTTTGCAATAAAACATCAATCTACAAAGTTTCTAAATATATGAATATCTAAATAAATTTTCTTTAGTAAAAAAAGCTGTTTATATATTTACATAAGTGCACGATTTCTACAATAATTTTGTATACATATCTTATATATGTTATAAATCATAGCACATTTCAATGTATATAATATAATTTATACACATATATATGGATATATATATATGTATATGTATATAATTTGTTATAATGCACAAGCAAAACCATTGTTTTTTTGATATAATAAAACTTATTTATTAAAACATTTGTCCTATCACAGCAAGTGATCGTACTGCAGATTGCACATTATTTACATGAATATGGTGAGCAACTGTATGATGATGTTCATCTACAACCATCTCTCCATATTGAGCTCGACAACGTTTCTGATGTGCAAACAAACTACCACTATGGCTATAAGCAGCTCCACAAGTTTTACACACATATGGTTTTTCACCAGAATGAGTATAAGTATGTTCTTTTAAAGTACTTAGTCTTTTGAATGCTTTACCACATGTTTTACACAAATAATTTGCTTCTCCAGTATGTCGAGTCAAGTGTCGTCTAAAAGCTGAACTCACAGCAAATGCAGCACTACATACATGACAAACAAATGGTTTATCACCTGTATGAATTCTAATGTGATTTGCTAAACTGGTTGTTGTAGTAAATCCACTATTACAAGTTTTACACACATGTGGTTTAATACCAGTATGAGTTCTCATATGATAAGTTAGAGAAGAATTACTTGGATACACCTTGCTACAAATGTGACACAAATATTCTCTTGGAACTTTTTCTTTTGGTTTATGTGTCCTTTGATGAAGAACAAGACGAGCTTGACTAGCACATACCTTTCCACAGATTTCACAAGTAACTGGTTCAGCTTTTGGTTTATGCATTGATACATGACGTCTAAGACCTTTCTTTGTTGCCATAATTTTATCACAATGTTGACATTTATATTCACCAGAATCATCTTCATCACTTTCTTCTTTTTTAACATTTTCATTTTCTTGTAAAGTATTTTGAGTAGTATTTGGGAAAGAATC